GTCGCCGGTTCATCGCCGACGTCGCCGACGCTTCGGCGATGCATCGGCGATGATGCTGAGCGACCCACCGACCCCACCTGCTCGTTGCCAGACTTGGGAGGCCTCCTTGGCTTCTCGAGGGGAAGAGTGGGGGTTGGCAGAGGTGGGGGGTGGCCCGGGGTCCAGGGTGGGGTTCGGGGCACGGGCCTGGCTGGGCGCTGAACCTGCCCTATCCTCGGGGGGGCCGTCCAGAGCGGTCTTCTTCCAGCCCGTCCCCTGACATTACCACGTGGTTGCGACCTCCGGGCAGCAGTGGCCTCCGGGGGCAACGCCGTCAAGACGTTGCAGCTGAAACCCATGCCAAGAAGCATCCTGCTTGCCTCCAGGGTGCCCTGGGGTTCCTGGGTTTCGATGGTTTGGACCTGGCGAGCGTGGCGTTCCCACACCGAGCAAGGAGGGACGTCCTGGGGCCTCGGGATTGGGCTCCTCGTGGAGGGTTTCTCGTGGTCGAGCTCCTACTGTAAGCTCTGGACCACCTTGGTTTCGGAAGGGGCTCTGATCTTCGGGGCGCCCCTTCGACCCCAGGGTCGGGGAACCTCCCCTCGCAGGGTCTGGGAACCTCTGCGCGGCCGGGGCTCGCCGCAACCCGACAAGCCACTTCTCCGAGGAGGAGAACCTGGGCCTCCTATAGATGGGGTCGGAGTAGATTTAGTTCATTCAGGCGTGCCCCTCTACAGGAGAAATATTCCAACATGGTCAAAACACAGTTTGGGGACGATGTTCTGATTATTCTTGAATATTAGCTGGAGTAGTTCGAAACAGTTGTTCGTCCCAAATCCACGCCCGGCCTCAGAGTAGATGGGGTCTCTTGGGCGTTGCGTAATAGGGGGGTCATAAATGGGGGGGTGGCGAGGGTGGTCCGAAAAGGTGCCCGAACGGTGCCCAAACGAGCCCCCTGGGGCTCCGGAGGGGCCCGAAAGGGGCACGAAAGGGGACCGTTTCTGACCCCCCTATCTGTGACCCCCCCATGAAGCCACGCCCAAGTCTCAGGATCGCGCCGCATCGGCGAGGCATCGCCGCTGCGGTTCTCGATGTGGAGCCCGATATTTCTTCACGCCGGCGGCGCCGAGGCATCGCCAGAGTGCGGCGCCACGTTCCGACCCCGCCTACACCTTAGGCGATGCTTAAGAAAACCCAAGTTTTCGGCCAGAGATTCGATTATTCTTACTGTTTCAATGCAAATCCGAAGATTTGAATAGGAAATCTTGGGTTTTTGTTCGAGTTCTGAGACTCTGAGTTTCTTAACCCATGATTTCTAAAGCATTTCGCAGGGTGTACTCTGAAGTCGGGCCTGTCCCTCTACAGGAGGAGTAGTCTGGGGATGTTTTGTTGAGCCGTTTCTGCCAATTTTTTGGAATATTTCTTGTGTTTTGTCTAAGCTATGTTTGATCTTGCGTCCAAAATCCTTCTGTAGAGGGACAGGCCCGGCCTAAATCTACTCCGACGCCATCCAGGGGGCCTCTGCACTGCCTCGGGGAGGGGACTATTTTGGAGTGTTTTTTTTGTTGCGTATTTTTGATTTTTCGCGCAGGATCCCCCCCTGTAGGGGGACACGCCCGACTTAAGTCTGCTCCGACGCCCTCCGGGAGGCCTCTGCACTGCTTCGGGGAGGAGGCGGCACTGCCACCGCCGAGCGCTTCCCTCGTCGCCGGGCCTGGCATGGAGCGCGCACGGGGGATGCGTCCACGGAGTAGCGTCAAGTCGGGCCTGTCCTTCTACAGGAGGAATACTCGAAAATAGTGAAGAATAATGCGGAGACGATTTGTTGATTATTTCTGTCAATGTTTGAATATGTGTGGGCTCTTTTTCATTTTTCCTCCCAAATCCGCCTGTAGGGGGACAGGCCCGACCTAAGAGTAGTGGCACGGGTCTGATCATGTTTCTGTATCGTCGGCCCTTATACATCGGGGATAAAGGGACGGGGGTTAGCATCGTTTAACCGACCCCCATCCCCATCCACATCCCCTCCGGGACCCCCACCAAAGTGCCACCCCAGTTGGGGATACACCCCTCGAAACCCGACGGGAACGGCCTATATCCCCATCTAGGGGGGTAAGTCGGCCAGTGGGGCCCAGGCCACACCGCTGGGGAAAGGGGTCGGATAAACGATGCTCAGGGTGGTCGATGCAAAGGGGGTCAACCATAGCGCCAGATGTTGCAGGATCCTGCAAAGCCACTTTCAGCAGTGACCCAGGCTGAGGTGCATGCATGATCCTGCAGAGTCTTGCAGGGTCTTGCAAATTCAGATTGGCCCGCATTTGGATTGACCCGGCTCAGTACATCCCCGAAATCTGAGTTCTTTATCGTGATCTGGAGCAGCACCAGCATGGCGGGCGCAGCATAGAGGGGGATAAGCTGGCAAGAGGGGCGGACGGCGGTAAGGGCGCGACGAGCAGGATGAGGCAGGGTGGAGCGGGAGGAGCATGGCGAAGCTCAAGGGAGAGCAGGGGGATGAGGAGGA